TCAGTGTATTAAACATTATGACGACTGTAGGAACGTAGGTGAGTAATAATTAATGCAATTACATTTGTAATTCATAATTCTATTAAATATAACACATAATATATTTATTACCATAATAAATATCATTACACAGAAAGATTCAAAGTTATCCAGTATACGGCCTCGAAATCCTCTATGAATGAAAATGAGCTCACTTTAGAAGACATGATGGATACAGCGTATGATAATTTAATTGAAGTAGGAAGACGTAATTTTTCCGCATATCCGTAAGTATTTTAAATATTCGATTTTGTAGCCATTTTACTATGTATGTTAATGAATATGTATTTTAAACAATAGACTTACAAATTAATTTGTAGTAATTCTTTTGACGTTAAAAATTCTAAATGTTCAAATATCAAGTAAAAAAAGGTATTTGTGTAAAAATTCTATCAATTTAAATAAATGTTTAAAGTACATCTATGCAATATATATTCATTAACAAAAAGGAAATTTTATAATAACGTAATTTTATTTTTACAAAATGATCTGTATTAGGGATTTTGTACACACAATAGAAGATTTTACTTACAATCTCTGGGCTAACATGACGAAGGTTGGGTGCGGACGAATTAAGTTTAAAGAACCAAACGGCATGACTACGCATCATGTATTTTGTAATTTCGCTCCACGTAAAATATAGAAAAAAATGTATAAAATAACATAAAGAAATAGATTTGGCCATCTTCCAATGACATATAATTTAAAAGGTAAAAAGTGACAGCATAAAAAAATAAATTTTTTTATGTATTGTTTTATATATCAATATGATATTTCTTTCATATTTAAAACCGGCGAAATAATGAAAATATCATTAACAAATTTTTGGTCAAAAGAGCAGTGTGATGTAGCTTAGAAATAAGAATATCTTTACAAAGAAATACCTATTATTGTACTAGTGAGAAAATAAATAAAACTAATCAGTAGTCAAAATAAAACTTTTCTATGTATAATATTTTTAAGGGTATTATAAATTAAGGGGAGATAGGTAAATATTCACATATCTTTTCTATTATGTGTTCTTTTAATTTCTATATGACAAAAAAAGCAGGATTGTGTAAGTTAATATATTTTTTTTATGTAAGTTAAATTAAAGTTAACAGTCTTAAAAATTAAACTTATAATTAGTTGAGATAAGTTAATCCATAATAAAATTAATTAAATTAAAAGTTAACTTAATAAAAAGTTATAAGTTATAAGTTAAATTTTTTTTATTTTATAATTTTAAGATTAATTTTAGGATTTCTAAATAAAGTTTCTAAATAAAATATATATTTGCAAGTATCGAAAAACGCCAAT